TGAGCCGTCGTCTTACGCAGGTTTCAGTCTCACTGTATGCCTATGCCCTCCCCCCCCCCCCCCTCCCACCATGTACCATGATTGTATACCCCCGTCGCAAGAGAAGCACGCAAATCTGCAAATTCACTGGATGTGCACCCACAGATTTTCTCTTATAGCAACGATAGCGAACAAGATCTGAATGAGACAGATCAAGACTTGCGCCAGATAACTGTCTAATCCACACAACTGGCGAAGCCATGTGAATCGACCACCAATGCACACCTGGTCTACACCACACGGAGTACATCGGCATAAAGCGGCCAAGACCGTTACCTATGCACACCCTACACTTGCTGGGGTAACCAGTATGTACAGCACGCTGCTTTGACACACACACAGATATCGACCAATGCAACCCCCCCCCCCCCCCACCCACACACACACACATCGACCAATGCACCCCCCCCCCCCTCCCACACACACACACACATAATATCGACCAATGCAACCCCCCCCCCCCCCTCCACACACACAGATATCGACCAATGCACCCCCCCCCCCCCCACACCCACCCACCCACACACACACATCGACCAATGCACTCCCCCCCCCCCCCCCTCCCACACACACACACACACACACATATCGACCAATGCACACCCCCCCCCTCCCGCACACACACACAAACATATCGACAAATTCACCCCCCCCCCCCGCCCCCCCCCCACACACACACATCGACAAATGCACCCCCCCCCCCCTCCCACACACACACACACATATCGATATCGACCAATGCACCCCCCCCCCCCCCCCCTCCCACACACAGACACACACACACATAATACCCATGACCCCACCACCACACAAAAATAATAGACGCATGCACTCCCCCACCCACACGCAAACATAGATGCATGCCCCCCCCCCCCCCCCACCACCACCACCACACACATATACATGTACATGACTTTGTCTGTGGGTAAATTGACAGCATGAAACAAGGTTGAGGACCACTGTGTTCGGAAACAGTGACCTTACTACAACCATCCACGGTTGGCAGAGCCATGGTCCGTTGGGACCATCTGAACCATATGGGTGCTGAACTACATGACATAACAAGGTTTATCTAGTACTAGTGTTCCGTCGCATTTCATATATTGCTAGACTATCTGGTTTCTGTGTGTGAGCCGACAATAGGCGGTTGTGCGATGACAGTCTGGTTCTTTTCATTACCTTCGTAATCTGTGTCACGCTCACTTGGTTGCGGTTTCATTCATGTCTGTCATGCTAGTGTTAGTAGCCGCTGAACTAGTATCGTACGCTGCACATATCTAGAGTGCAAGAGTTCATAGTGCGTACGGGATCTTTCCATGCCTGCTGCTTTGGCTTCCTTTGTTTCGCTGCTTTTCAGGATATGTTCTGTGCATAAATTAGCTGGTTTTAGTTGATAGTGCTTTAGTGTGTGCGTAAGGATTTGTAGAGAACAGGAGCTGTTGTTGTATCGTCTTGCAAGAACGTTGTAAGACAGATCAAGCCCCACAGTTTGTGTGATGATTCGAGTGTATGAGTACTCGAGTGCATGAATATACAGTCTTCGAAGGGTTCGTGTGCGTGTGAGTAGAAAATACGAACATATCTGGTCCTTCGAGCCGGATCGTGGCATGGCGTCGGATCCTAGTAGTATGCGTAGGAGCAGCCGTTCCACGATAGGTGTACCTCCTCAGCGATGGGGTTTCGAGACCGAAGCTGTCGAAGGTAATCGTGACCAGCAAGGAGCAGTGCCGACGTCCGGCAATGGAAGTCGAGCTGTGAGTGCTCGATCGCGGACATCATCAGCCCAGCACAGTGGTAGCTCGCGACGAGCAGTGTTGGAAGCTGAGATTCGAGTCGCAAAGGCGCAGTTGGAACTGCGAGAATCTGAATTGGCAGCGGAAACTCTTGTAAGGACAAGTAGTGTTCGTTCGCCAGGCTCCGGGACAGGGAGGTCCCCGTCTCTCGGGATGCAACAGCAAGTGTTTGCGGAGGCCGCAGAAGTGCTTGATGCAGGCGAGGAGGCACCACAAGGAGAGCCACACGACAACGCTCAACCGGACGCAGTAGTCGTCGGACTGGTTGCAGGAGATGTCGGGGACGTAGCAGGACACGTCCAGGAGATAGAGTCGGACGCCGAAAGTCACCTCCGACGCGAGTTCCAGCTGAAGGAACTCAGGTACCAACAGGAAATCGGCTACCTCGGCGAGCAGTTGAACGAGTGCCGAAAGGAGTCGAGAAGGATGAAAGACCGTGCTCAATCGATCGTCCAGAAGCTGGAGGTCGCCGAAAGCAAGCTTAGGGTCGCACAGCGGGAGAATCGAGACCTGTTGCAAACCAGCTACGAAAAGGAGAAGAGCATGTACAGTGAGCTGGAGCAAGCGCGGCACGAACTCACGGAGATGGAGTGGCGCGTGCAGCATGCACACAGCAAGGTATGTGACGAGTCCACAGCTGTAGTTGCATCACGTGTGAATTCTCCTCAATCCGTGAATAGTACAGACAGTCGTCCCAAGTGTGTAACGCAAGGGCTGTCTGCCTGTCAGATGAGTGGCAGTCACAGTCGAGTGGTCAGAGATGAGGCCAGCAGTCAAGTGCCCGTGCCAGCCAGCAGTGACTCTAGTAATGATTGTAGCAGTACAGCTGGCAATGCTGACTCAGACCAGTGTACTGGCCAGGGCACCATAGGCATCGCAAACATGGCACAGGAGTTTATGGGTGCTTTGACAGCAGCACTACGGAGTAGTGGCAACAACACCACCACCAGCCACAGTACTACTCCTGACTCTGACACTGGCCTACACCAGCTAGCAGCCCGACACAGCTCCATCAACACCAAGCTGCCCACGTTCTCTGGGAGACCTGAGGAATGGCCAACGTTCATCAGCACATACAGGAGCAGCACCAAGCAGTGCGGATTCAGCAATGCCGAGAACGTTCAACGCCTGCAAGCGTGCCTGAAGGGCAAAGCACGGGATGCGGTACAGCTGATGCTCTCCGTGCCCGACAATGTGGAGCAGGCCGTGCAGACGCTCGAGCGACGGTTTGGCAGGCCGGAGCTCGTCGTCACTGAGCTGATCGAGCAAGCCAAATCACTCAAACCCGTGAGGGCAGACGACCCCGACAGCTTGATCGGACTGGCAACGGCTATCAACAACATCGTGCTGACAATGAAGCTGCTCAACAGCCAGGGCCACCTGACCAACCCTGCATTGCGCAACGAGTTGGTCACGAAGTTACCACCAGCTCAACGGATGCAATGGGGAGAGTATCTAAAGACGCAAGGGTTGACGACCGATCAGCTCGGACTCGACACGTTCTCGGCCTGGCTGGGAGAGCGAGCTGAGGCTGCAGCGCTGGTGGCGCCAGCCAAGAGCCTTGCACAACCAACGACAACGTACAAGCCTCGCGGGCAGACAGCACTGCACGCCGCCAGCTCATCTGCAAACGAGGCCAGGCGAGACAAACCAGTTCGGTCCTGCCGGAATTGCAACGGCAGCCACTGCATCACCTGGTGCCGAAGCTTCAAGGCACTGCCAGTGAAACAGCGCCGGGAATTAGTATACGAATGGAAGCTATGCACCTGCTGCCTGAGGTCCGGGCACTGGAGGGCAGCGTGTCAGTCGGGAGGATGCGAACGTTGTCCAGCCAGGCACCACACTCTGCTCCACCAAGAGCGTACCCAGCGGACTAGTGGAGCACGAGGGGGCTCGACGACTGACGGAACGAGTGGAGCACGAGAGGGCTCGAACACTGACGGAACACAGCCCCAGGCAGCGACCAACCATCAAACCAGTGCATCGATGGGAGATCAGATTGCCTTCATGACTGTGCCAGTAGTGCTGGAGTATGAGGGTCGCCAACAGCGCGTCACCGCATTGCTGGACCCAGCCTCTACTACCAGCTTTCTGACGGATGACGCTGCGAGTAAGCTTGGCATAGTCGGCAAGCCCCAGTCGCTCCAGACAACTGTTCTGGGCGGTAAGACAGTGACAGGACAACACCAGTGTGTCGAGGTCACTATGAGAAGTGTGGATGGCAACTACAGTGCGGACCTCGAGGTGTGGACCCAGCCACAGATTACCACCCACACAGCACCGGTCAACTGGGACAAGATCAAATGCTGTTATGAGCACCTGAGAGATATTCCATTACCACCAACCAACACCCGCACTCCGGAGCTACTAGTAGGCCTGAATGTGCCGGGAGCACATACTACACTGGAAGAAGTCGTTGGCAATGATGGTGACCCAATCGCTCGTCGCCTACCATTGGGCTGGGTGTGCTTTGGACCAGTAGTGACGCCCTCACAGTGCTCAATGACCACAGCCGTCACGCCAGCAGATGACATGACACCACAGCAGCGATTGGACGCTATTGTGGAGAAGTTCTGGTTGTGGGACGATGTTGGGACTGTGACACAGTCTACCCTCACCCAGGCTGAAATCGAAGCCGACCGTCTGGTACGTGAGATGACTACGCACGATGGTACTCGGATCGTCACTGGCATCCCATGGACGAGTGACGGTGGTCGGCCGCAACTGACAAGCAACATCGCGACAGCCAAGAGCCGCTTATTCAACCTGGAGCGCTCGCTAGCTCGGCGCCCACCAGTATACGACCAGTACCGTCAGCTTGTAGCTCAACATCTAGAGAAGGGTTACATCACGAGGTGCGATGCCGACGTTCTCACCGAGCCAGACCAGTGGTTCCTGCCCCATTTTCCAATAGTGCGGCAGGACAAGGAGACAACGAAAGTGCGTATGGTCTTTGACGCTGCAGCCACCCACGACGGCCAGTCACTGAATGACCATATGTATGCTGGGCCGAAACTACAGCAAGACCTGGTGGAGGTCCTGCTAGGATTCTGTCAGGAACCTGTTGCACTCGTCGGCGACATCGCTGAGATGTTCCTGCAAGTCGGCCTCAAACCCGCAGATAGGCGGTATGTGAGATTCTTGTAGCGAGAGTCCCCACAATCTACCATGGAAGCGTTTGAATTCAACCGATTGGTATTTGGCCTCAAGGCGTCGCCATATCTAGCCTGCCGTGCCGTCAAGGAGGTTGGAAGCAGATTTGGCTCTAACTACAGTGACATGGCTCGTAGTGCTATCGACCGGTCTCTGTACGTGGACGACCTGCTCAAGTCCTGTCCTACAACTGATAGCGCTATCACCACTCAGCGGGAAGTCCAGTCCCTCCTGCAACATGGTTCATTCCACCTGCGCAAATGGCGGAGCAACGACCGCCAAGTGCTGGAGGCTATACCCGAGGCAGACCGTGCTACAGATTCGCTACTGCATCTCAGTAGCAACGACAACCCGACCATCTCCAATCCAGTCAAGACACTCGGCGTAGCTTGGAATGCGAGAGATGATGTGTTCACCTTCGTTTACAAAGCAACATCACCGCAGCAACTCACGAAACGATCAGTGTTGTCCAAGATGGCTACCATCTATGATCCACGAGGTCAGCTGTCACCCTTCACTATCCGTGCACGGCTGATGTTCCAAGAGCTATGTACGCAGCAGAAGGATTGGGACGCCGCAGTGTCTGATGAACAGAGCTCTAAGTGGCAGCGGTGGTTTGCGGAATTACCATTGCTGGCAGAGATCAAGGCCGATCGATGTTTCAAGGATGCACGTCGTCCTCCAGAGTCCGCGGCACTCTCAGTGCACGTCTTCACCGATGCGTCATCGCATGCAGTCGCTACAGCAGTATACGTGCGCTGCGAGTACCCTGATGGCTTCGTGAAAGTCACGCTCGCATTCGCCAAAGCCAAGACTGCGCCAATCAAGCCAACCACCATCCCGAAGCTCGAACTTCGTGGCGCAGCCCTGGGAGTACGTGCGAGTCAAGTCGTAGCTCGAGCGCTAGACATACCAGTAGAGAAGCATGTATACTGGACTGACTCAACCAACGTTCTGTACTGGCTGCGCAGCAACGCCAAGAACTTCCGGAGCGACATTGCCACTCGTATTGTTGAGATCCAGAAGAGTACTACAGCCGATCAATGGCGCCATGTGCCAGGCAAAGTCAATCCAGCCGACCTCGGCACCCGTGGCGAGCGCGCAGCCGACTTCATACGGAACGATACCTGGTGGAGAGGACCCCAGTTTCTGCAGTCGGCACCGGCAGAATGGCCGAAAACCAACCTCACTGTGCCAGCTCAGCTCCCCGGACAACTGAAGAAGAAGCCAGCCATCACGTTCGCCGTCGAACATGAACAGATCAGGCTAAGCCCATCTACGTACTCGTCCTGGTCGCGGCTAGTACGCATCACGGCATGGTGCTTGCGATTCCTAGGCAACCTGAGAGCAAGGATCACGAGGGGGCGAGCGGTTCCCACCAGCGCGGTAGTGGTACCATTGCAACAGACTGACGGGACGTCTGCAAAGAGTGCAGCCAGCAACTCCACAGACCAACACGCTACGGAGGAGTTGTCGCCGCAAGAACTGCAGAAAGGCGACTTGGTGCTGTGCCCAAGTCCGGATGGGACACGTGGCCAGTGGCCACTAGGCAGAGTCGTAGGAACCCATCCAGGAGCCGATGGTCATGTAAGGGTAGTGGACGTGAAGATCGCCGACAAGATCAAGCGCCGGAGTGTTCACCAGCTTGTTCCATTGTGTGCAGATAGTGGCTGAGGAATTCAGTGCCTTAGCCCACCGTAGTGACAGTAGCAGCATAGAATGGACCTGCATATTTCCTTTTAGTTCTTTGTCTTTTCATGTTCTATCGTTACTGTTTGGTATCACACTCAGTCTTATACCCTTCGTGTGAGAGGGGGATTATGTTCCGTCGCATTTCATATATTGCTAGACTATCTGGTTTCTGTGTGTGAGCCGACAATAGGCGGTTGTGCGATGACAGTCTGGTTCTTTTCATTACCTTCGTAATCTGTGTCACGCTCACTTGGTTGCGGTTTCATTCATGTCTGTCATGCTAGTGTTAGTAGCCGCTGAACTAGTATCGTACGCTGCACATATCTAGAGTGCAAGAGTTCATAGTGCGTACGAGATCTTTCCATGCCTGCTGCTTTGGCTTCCTTTGTTTCGCTGCTTTTCAGGATATGTTCTGTGCATAAATTAGCTGGTTTTAGTTGATAGTGCTTTAGTGTGTGCGTAAGGATTTGTAGAGAACAGGAGCTGTTGTTGTATCGTCTTGCAAGAACGTTGTAAGACAGATCAAGCCCCACAGTTTGTGTGATGATTCGAGTGTATGAGTACTCGAGTGCATGAATATACAGTCTTCGAAGGGTTCGTGTGCGTGTGAGTAGAAAATACGAACAACTAGTTTTGAACTAGTATTGGGTTATATAGCACATCATACACATGTAGACCCGTGCACTCCCCCCCCCCCCCCCCCACACACACACATGTAGACCCGTGCACTCCCCCCCCCCCCCACACACACATACACATGTAGACCCGTGCACCCCCCCCCCCCACAAACACATACACATGTAGACCCGTGCACCCCCCCCCCCCCCCCACACACACATACACATGTAGACCCGTGCACTCCCCCCCCCCCCCACACACACATATGTAGACCCGTGCACTCCCCCCCCCCCCCCCCACACACACACACATACACATGTACATGTAGACCCGTGCACCCCCCCCCCCCCCCCACACACACATACACATGTAGACCCGTGCACCCCCCCCCCCCCCCACACACACACACATACACATGTAGACCCGTGCACCCCCCCCCCCACACACACACATACACATGTAGACCCGTGCACTCCCCCCCCCCCCCCCACACACACACACATACACATGTAGACCCGTGCACCCCCCCCCCCCCCCACACACATACACATGTAGACCCGTGCACTCCCCCCTCCCCCCCCCCCACACACACACACACATACAAATGTAGACCCGTGCACTCCCCCCCCCCCACACACACACATACACATGTAGACCCGTGCACTCCCCCCCCCCCCCACACACATACACATGTAGACCCGTGCACTCCCCCCCCCACACACATACACATGTAGACCCGTGCACTCCCCCCCCCCCCCCCACACACACACATACACATGTAGACCCGTGCACCCCCCCCCCCCCCACACACACACATACACATGTAGACCCGTGCACCCCCCCCCCCCCACACACACACATACACATGTAGACCCGTGCACCCCCCCCCCCCCACACACACACATACACATGTAGACCCGTGCACCCCCCCCCCCCCACACACACATACACATGTAGACCCGTGCACTCCCCCCCCCCCACACACACACACATACACATGTAGACCCGTGCACCCCCCCCCCCCCCACACACACACATACACATGTAGACCCGTGCACTCCCCCCCCCCCCCCCACACACACATACAAATGTAGACCCGTGCACTCCCCCCCCCCCCCCCACACACACACACATACACATGTAGACCCGTGCATCCCCCCCCCCCCCCCACACACACACACACATACACATGTAGACCCGTGCACTCCCCCCCCCCCCCACACACACACATACACATGTAGACCCGTGCACTCCCCCCCCCCCAAACACACACATACAAATGCAGACCCGTACACTCCCCCCCCCCCCACACACACGCACATACACATGTAGACCCGTGCACCCCCCCCCCCACACACACACATACACATGTAGACCCGTGCACTCCCCCCCCCCCCCGCACACATACAAATGTAGACCCGTGCACTCCCCCCCCCCCCCCCCCCCCTGTAGTGTTTCGCACTTTAGTCTAACCAGACCAACCAGAGAGCCAAGACATTAGTTCTAACTGTTGTACTACGATAAGACAAAGAACCTAGAACACATGCAATCTACTAGATATGTATATACATACGGGCTAAAGTGGGAAGGAGGAATGGAATGCTAGATCATGTAAGTGGATCATGATGGTGGGAATGATATCGGAATGCATGTATGCATGGGCTTCATGCATCTAGTCACATGACACTACACCTCCCTTTCTTTGAGGTTGTAAGAGCAAATATGGCAGTAGATTATGAAGATGGGGAAGATACCTAACTGGACGACTTTGAAAATGAAAACAATAAGACCGTTGCAGAAGGGATCCATTACAGAGTTCTGTAAGCCTGGTCTGTCCGAGGGAGTATTCTAGTATAGTGCATTGTACATGTATATCCTCTCCTCTTACAAAGAAAAGACCTAAGGGTGTACAGAGGACACACAGGCACATGCAAGCCATTAGAAAAGAGAACGAGCAAGAGAGGGAGAGACCGAAGAGTGGAGTATTTTGTTTGGAGAGACCAAAGTTAGAAGCGATCGGGAGCGTGAACGACACGGCCGCGAGCCGTGACATACTTATCAGGCTGGTCTTGAGCTGGAGGGGTCGATGGCAAGTTGGGAACTGCAGGACACGGCGGAGTAGAAGGTTGACTGGCTGGGGGATCAGGATCGGTAGTAGCGGCAGAGTGACCAGCAGGCGGCAACTGTTGCGGCGTTGGCATTGGGACAATGTGCCGCCGGTTGCGTCTGAACTGGCCCGATGGGGTTGCTACGATGTAGGAGCGCAAGGCTGGTTGGCTCATCACGTGGCCAGACTCTTCACGATCAGGTAGATATACAGGCTGTTGTGGACACAGAGACGGCAGTGTCCGGGCTGCATGGCGACTGGCATGGTTGGTGCTTTGGCGATCCTTTAAGCGCTGATCCGCGGCACGCAGGTCGCTCTGATCGACTGGATGCGACTGTCGCTGTGTTGGAGAGAGAGGTAAGAGTGACTGCAGCTGGCGGTTCATCAGAAGCTGGGCTGGACTCTTACCATTCTCCAAGGGAGTGTTGCGGTACGCGAGTAGTGCGAGGTGCCAATCAGTGCCCTGACGGAACAGACTTTTGACCGTGCGAACAGCACGCTCGGCCATGCCATTGGCTTGCGGATAGAGAGGGCTACTGGTGACGTGGCGGAAGCCATAGGTGGATGCAAACTGGGCAAATTCAGCACTGGTGAATTGCGGTCCGTTGTCGGTCGTTAGAGAGTCAGGGATGCCATGGCGAGCGAACAGTGACTTGAAATGGCTGACTGTACGAGCTGTGGAGAGCGAGGGCATGTCGAGGACCTCGATGAACCGAGAGTAGTAGTCGATGACGAGGAGGTGGTTGCGACCGTCGATGGTGAAGAAGTCTGCGGCCAGATGTTGCCAAGGAAACTCTGGGAGTGGAGTTGAGAGAAGAGGCTCGGGTGGCTGAGAGCGGTGTCGACTGCATTCTTCACATGTTTGGACAAGAGTAGCTATGTCCGACGAGAGCGATGGCCACCATACGGAAGTGCGGGCCAGGCGTCGGCACTTGGTGATGCCCTGATGACCCTGGTGAAGGCGAGCCAGGATTTCTTGCTGGTGAGCGGGAGGTATGTAGAGACGCTGATCATACAGAATCAAGCCGTCGTCCGTGAGGCTGAAATGTGCGCTGTGCTCTATAAGAAACTGCACTACGGGAGGAGCATCGCTAGGAGCAGGCCAGCCGTGCTGCAGGTACTCGATGATGCAAGCACAGCTATCGTCGTCGCTTTGCCATGCTGAAACCTCTTCCAGGCGTTGCGCAGTGGCAGGCAGAGCCTCAGTGACGTACGACACCATTGCAGCGGTCTCAGCCTCCAGTGTGGCAGTGGCGTCGGCATCTGTGCTGCGCAGAGGAGCTCGAGACAGAGCGTCGGCAATTGCGAGTTGTTTGCCAGGTGTGTGGATAATACTGTAGTCGTATCGAAGTAGCCGTAGACGAAACCGGAGGACCCGCGGAGGGAGGTCGTCAAGAGCACGGGTACCGAGCAGAGGGATGAGTGGCTTGTGATCCGTCTCAATGGTGAATGGCATGCCGAGGAGGTAGTGTGAGAGCCGGTCGCAGGCCCATGTTGCAGCCAGAGCCTCCTTCTCGATTTGCGAATAGCGCGTTTCCGCTGGTGTGAGAGAGCGAGACAAATAGGCTACAGGACGGACAGACGCGTCGGGCTGGCGTTGTAGAAGCACTGCACCCAGGCCAAAGGAAGATGCATCAGCAGATACTGTGGTGTGGTAGTTGGGAGAGTACTTGGCCAGGACGGGCTCGTTACTCAGTGACGTCTTGATGCGGTCGAACGCGGCACACTGCTCAGCACCCCACTGCCACGGGGTGCCTTTGACGAGGAGAGACCTGAGAGGTTGCGTGATGGAGGCCAAGTCCGGAATGAACTTGCCTAGGTGGTTGGCCATGCCCAGCAGACGGCGGACGGAATGGACATCGGAGCAGGGAGAGAGCTCCTGGATCGCGTGGATCTTGTCTGGATCTGGACGGATGCCACAGCCATCAATCACGTGGCCCAGGAACTTGATCGAGGTGGCATGAAATTGACACTTCTCGCTGTTGAGCGTGACACCGGCGGATTGAAGACGGGCCAGAGCTGGTCGAAGGTTGTCGACCTCCTCCTCGAGGGTGGAGCCGAATGTGAGGACGTCGTCCATCATGCAGATGTTGCCAGGGAGGTCGCTGAGCAGATCTGACATCTGTTTCTGAAAATACTCGGGTGCCGAGGAGATGCCAAAGGGGAGCCGCGTGTAGCAGAATCTGCCGATGGGCGTGATGAAGGTGGTTAGAAGCTGCGACTCTGGCGCCAACGGAATTTGGTGAAACCCGCTGTT